TTATTTTTCAAAGAAATATACTTGGCAACAGACCAAATGGGACTTGATGGGACCTTTAAATTTTAATATATCTGCGTCTCTCTCGCGAAATTCGACTTCTTTGTTCACTGTCGTCTCTTGTCTTATCTACTCTTTGGCCTAGGCATAAAAGCAAAGCATTTTGACACCTAAGCGCAAAGGTACTATGAAGGTACTGAAATATATTATTAAACTGACATGAAGTGTCAAATTCAACGAGCGTAACCGTAGTTTCTCGATGTATAATTACATACAAGGTATTACTTTTGAATCTGTTTATATTTATTTGGAACGTTTGAAATTGTTTTAAAAATTATTCGTGGCGTTTGAAAAAAATAGCATGTTCTATTCGGAGTAAAAATTACTTTTTGTGACTCGCCTGTAATGTTAACCATACATTTTTACTCCTAATATAACAATATACTATTTTCTTCTTTTGAACTGTTTGTAATACCTATATATAATTTAAAAAATTGTCTCTAGTCAGTTTTTTGCCAATTTTATTCTATTTATTTAGTCTTTTAATCATGGCTCAGATGTACAGATTCTATGCTGTACATCTGTACATCTGTATCATGTACGGTCAAACGTTACAGCCTCGCCACAAAAAGTGTCATTTTTACTCCTAATAAAACAATATACTATTATTATTCAAATAGAAATATCAATTATTTTGGTGTTTATTTACAAAAATAAGACTGTGAGATAGAAAAACAATAGGAGTTTAAATTGTCAAAAAATAATCCTAAATAATTCCGATGGTATATTTTGTGCTAAATATACGTGGGTATTTAAGTGTAGTGCTGTCAAAAAATCACAGTGAAATGAAGTGTTGTGAAATGTAGATTAGCAGTTATAGGTAAAGTGATAAAACGACGCTTTAACCTAATTACATAGATCTGATATCTTTCGGAGACCTGTTTTTAAGGTTAGGTAAGTTTTTTACTTTTAATCTGAAATTTTCAAGTCGTTTTTAAATATTTCTAGTTGATGTGTCAACACTGACCGTAGAATAAGCTGAGATCCAGCTAATTGATTGGTATTTGCGGATGATTATCGATTGCCGGCGACTCTCAAAATGTTCCCATTATTTTTTTAATAATATTTTTATTAATGTAATGCAATTAAAACATTAAGGAGAGAAATTATTAGAATATTTGTCTAAATTCTTATTTTTCAATATGTTATATAGAACAAGCAATCTTTAAAATTGTACGCAAAAATCGCGAAACTATCACTACCATAGATTTAAAATAAAATATAGACTGAGCATCTCATTCATAAATAGCTGGAACATGCGGTCAGACAATGTCTTGTTATTGTTGTGTTATTGTTTTAGGTTATAACGAGTGCGACACGAGGGATAGATAGGTTGTCTCTGTCGTAACGGTCGTTCCCTGACGACTCTGCCGAGAAACACAACACAAACTTTCGTTTCTCAAGTACACCTGAACTCTCCGTATCATAGCCGGGTAATTTTTTTATTTTAATGAAGCTATAATTAAATTAAAAATATATCGTATTTAAACTTTTTTATATTTTATTAAGATTTAGGACAGGTTTTTTAAATATAAGTTTAGAAAAAACAATTTAGAGTCCAAAAAGGATAAAAATAATAAAATACACGTTATAGAAGAAATTTTATAATTGAAATTAGGTAATTTTTGAAATTAATAATAAATTATTAATTTTAGTCAAACATTTACAACCCCTAATATTAATCAAAACAGGATCTATTCCACAGATATAATAGAATCGGCGACAGGGAGAGAAAAAAAAATATGATTGTTGTAATTTTGTTTCTGGTTAAGTGATGTCTTATTATGTAAATTAGAGAAAACATAAATCTGTTCCATTAAAGCAAGGAAGGTGATAAAATAAAAACTACATTTATTTAACTCGGTACTGTCTTTATTATACCAGGTGCGTCTCAAAAGTGGCTCATCCCCCATAATTTTTTTATATTTTCAAATAAAAAAACAAGATTTAGTATGTTAGTATATGAAATAAATTAGGATTGATTGACGCATTCAATTGTTTTTGGTCACTTCCTTTTTAACCGGAAATGACTATACTTTTAATTTTTAAACGGTACCCTCGGTATATTTCTAATTTATTGGATAGAAAATGACACTCTGAATAGAATGACATATCATATGTCAACTTTGACATTTTCGCATATGGTTTAATTGTAATTGTAACACGCGGTTCATAACGACAATTTGACTCGAAATACCAAATGTGTGGTATCAATATATTCATAAAAAAATGTTTTTTCCAAATATGCTAATGAGTCACCCTTGTTCCATTTGAAAAAATTGACATATGTATGATTAAAAATACGATTTGTACATCTTTTAACCGGCCTAGACAAGACACGAAACCTATTAGACGATCAATCTATTGATCTAAAAATCTATTTTTCCAAGGCTTCTTGATTAAAACTTAGTGTTTTTAACAACACCATGGCACCCTGGATTGAAATTTAAAATACGATTTGTTTTTAAGCGACAATGTCAAAAGTTGACATATGATATGTCATTCTATTCAGAGTGTCATTTTTTATCGAATAAAGTAGCAATATACCGAGGGTGCCTTTAGAAATCAAAAGATGTAATCATTTCGGTGAAACAGGAAGAGACCAAAAACAATTGAATACGTCAATAAATCCTAATTTATGTCATATGCCTACTAACATACAAATCTGTTTTTTTTATCTGAAAATATAAAAAGTTATAGGGGTAAGCAACTTTTGAGACGACCCGGTATATTAAAAAATATTGTTTCATAATGTAATATCATTTAAAAATTCTTGTGTTATTTTAGATTCTGAAGATAATTTTAGAATAAACCGGAATATATTTTTAATAAAAACATTATTAATTATTAACAGGGTTATAATTATGATTTTGTTACAATGTACATGAGTAAGTAAATAATGCAATGTAAGAGAAAAAAATCAGATTTTACATTTTACTAAAATATTAAATTATTTTTTTTTTATATATTAAAATATTTTTTTATATATTAAAAGTCAATAAAATAAACACTTAAGGACTACAAGCTAAGAAAATGCGTTAATACAGCCGGGGACATAGCGGCAACAAAACTTTACCGTACACGTGCGACGCGTACTACAAGGTAATAAATGAATGAATAGGCTCCCTCGCCTCTAATCGGTGTTGTCATATTGTAAAGAACTTATCCTTTTTAAACAGTATCCGACTTATAATTTAGTAGTATAAGGACTATTTAATACATCTATGGAATATTAAAACCTACTTTATTAAACTGTAGTATTAATATCTCAATATATGTGTATAACAAGAAAAAAAATATTGATAATATTATAGACGTGACAACATAGGCTGGATGAGGAAGGCTCGGTCGACTGTACCCAGAAGTAAACATGTGTACAAAAAAGATTGTTTGGCGGCGTTGAGATGTAAATAGTGTAGTCTATATTTTATTTTAAGTCTATGACCACTACCTATTTGTAATAGATAATTTTGAACAATTAAGTAATATCTTATATCATATAAACGTGAAAAAACTGGAAGATCACAAGAGTCTTGCAGGCTTGATCTTGCGAAAGTCTTGCACTGGTCGGTTTTTGGTCTTGGTCGTGGTTTCTGTGCCCAAGACCAAGACCAAGACCATTTTCCCTCTTCACTATGAGAGGCATTACTACTAATTCTATAAACACACACTGCTTATTTTTTAACAGATACTAATACAGTGTGATTTTCAACTATAAACTAAAGAAATAAACCTTTTTTGTTCGCCATCTTTCGAAGTATTTTCGATCAAATGTATACTTTCTTGTTCATGTGGCAACACTGGCGGATACAGAGGGGCATCATGGATCCCCCCCCCTCCTAAAGTATGGCAATTTTGATCAAATCGAACCAAACAGTAAACAATACTTGCAGTTAATTAAAAGACACCCTGTAGCCTTTTGTCCTAATTGATAAAAACAAAACGAATCTTTGCTCAAAGTGATATGAACAGTTTTCTCAGTGTATAGATGTAGATTGTCGTGATCGACCTATTTTACGATGGTTATTATGTTGGCTTAAAGTGTGTTCCGTTACTTAATAATGGGCATCAGATTTGCATGCGAAACACATGCTAACTAATGGTACATTTTCTTGGCACACGACTATTATTATTAAATATGAATATTGATTGTTTTAGTTGCCACGTGTCGCGTTTATTGTACCAGAATTTATTTTTAGAAACTTACCAAAACGTTGTGGAGATTCAGCATTAAATTATTTAGGAAGTAAAACTTGGAGTAAAGTTAATATGAATAATGAATAATTGTATAAAAATTGTAAAATTTAACTAGAGAATGGACGAGAATGGCAATTAAAATGTGTGTGAATCCATTTTGTTTAATAAACCTTTTTACGAATTTCTATACAGGGTGCTACAAATTCGGTGTATGAGCACTGGTATCTCGGAAACCGTAATAGCACAGAATATCTAGCTACGCAACAGAAGCCTCGTTACATGTATAAAATTGTAGGTAGCAAAAGGAGACAGGCTTTAAAAGCCTGTCTCCAAATCAGATATTTTGATGTGGTAGTTTCGCTACTACATAATAGAGGGCAATAAATTTAAAAGAAAACAGTTTTCTACAAACAAAACTTTTTCTTAAACACATAATATGAGGAATCACATTCTAATTTTTTTAGACTACTTAATAAACACCCTGTATATATCATGACATACCTCAAACCCTGACAAAATTGTCTTTCCAAACACTTTTGCATTAACCAAATTGTAAAGTATACTAGAAATAACATAAAGTAAACACAGAAAAGCCCAAGAATCCACAAAAATTTAAATCAGATTCGAGTGTGTCAAATGAAACGTCAAATAAAACTTTCAAAAAACGGCGTATCATCACATCACGTTATAATCCATGCTTAATAAAGTAGTACCCTATATTTGGTAACTGTAGAAAAGAACTTTACCTGATTCGATTTGTTTTTGAATGTCCTGGTAAGTTCCTTCTGCCTCCTTGAAAATAACGCAAATCAACCATACCATGTGGTCATGATGCTGGAACTTATCCTTATTTTCTTCGCACAAAAGATAAAGTTCAACAGTCTTTTTACCATCCCTGTCACCTAAACAAAGAAATCAAAAATCATATCAATACTTTATTAGTTTGAATTTTTTGTTTCTTAGAAATACCGGGTGCGTCTCAAAAGTGGCTCATCACCCCTATAACTTTTTTTTATTTTACTTACTCATGTACATTGTAACAAAATCATAATTATAACCCTGTTAATAATTAATAATGTTTTTATTAAAAATATATTCCGGTTTATTCTAAAATTATCTTCAGAATCTAAAATAACACAAGAATTTTTAAATGATATTACATTATGAAACAATATTTTTTAATATACCGGGTCGTCTCAAAAGTTGCTTACCCCCTATAACTTTTTTATATTTTCAGATAAAAAAAACAGATTTGTATGTTAGTAGGTATATGACATAAATTAGGATTTATTGACGTATTCAATTGTTTTTCGTCACTTTCTGTTTCACCGGAAATGACTACAACTTTTGATTTTCAAATGACATCCTTGGTATTTTTTACTTTATTCGATAGAATATGACACTGAATAGAATGACATATCATATGTCATCTTTTGACATTTTCGCATATGGTTTATTTGAAATTTTAACATGCTGTTCATATTGACAATTTGACTCGAAATACCAAGTGTGGTACCAAATTATTCGTAAAAAAATTCTTTTTCCAAATATGCTAATGAGCCACCCTTGTTTCACTTGAAAAAGTTAAGATATAATTAAAAATACGATTTGGGCATCTTTTAACCGGCCAGGACAAGCTCGGGAAAATTGCTTGTCCCCCCCCCTAACCTAACCTAACCCCCCCCAAAGTTCTAGCTTCTCCACTGGACAAGGCACTAAAAACATTAAACGGCCAAATCTATTTTCCAAGGTCCTTGATTAAAAATCAGTATTTTTAACACAGCCATGGCACTCTAGATTAAAATTTAAAATACGATTTGTTTTTAAGCGAAAGTGTCAAAAGTTGACATAAGATATGTCATTCTATTCAGAGTGTCATTTTCTATCGAATAAAGTAAAATCTCAAATAAAGTAAAAAGTCATTTCCGGTGAAACAGGAAGTGACGAAAAACAATTGAATATGTCAATCAATCCTAATTTATGTCATATATTAATATACCAAATCTTTTGTTTTTTTATCTGAAAAATAAAAAAAATTATACGGGTGAGCCACTTTTGAGACGCACCAGGTATAGAAACAGATAATTTCAAATATAGACCATCCGGTACCAGTTTCCCAGTAAGCAAAGTTTTGTCACATTTAGGGAACATTAGGGAACAGTTACGTATCTGCGTTTTATTGCTTCTTATTAGGCACAAGAAGGGCCTGGTAACGTAACAACGACGTCACCTAGAACACATTTCCCTCGAAGGAATAAAATGTTCACTGGGTTCGATCGTTTATTTAAGTGAAGTCTTAACCCGACTAGTTAGATAATAGATAATAAACGAATATCAGTATAAGTATAGGCTCCACGAAGGATTTGCTCCGGGAGAAACAAAAGCGAAAACACTCCTCGAAAAAGGGGAGAGACCCAAGAAACAGTCGGACGCATCTCCAGCAAAGGGCGAGAGAGAGAGAGAGAGAGTAAATTTCAAACGGCTAAGGACAATCATGATTTCGATGGGCCTGTCAGATGGGGCTGTATAAAAGGTCTATCAACTCCAACGTAACTCTGGCTTCGTCAGAGGATATAATTTTTGAAATTGAGTATCCGAATATTCTTCCAGCGGATTAAGAAAGGGATGAAACTCTCTATCTCTACGATCTGCCACTATTTACTTCTTCAAGGGCATCAATAACATTCCTTTCAATTAAATAATCCAATCCGGCCATTTCAAAAACTTGTCTTTCAACAAAAAAAGTAGTACAATGCACTGCCATAATCGAATCCACAAATTACTTGCAAATTAAACTAGTGAAAGGTTAAGTAAAAGGAAAACAAACAGAGTTTTTACAACGTACAAACAACAAAAAGAACTTTAAAATTGGAAACAAATGCGCAGAATCAAGTAAAATCGCGTGCGAAAAGTGACATTCGAATGGTGGATACCCACTCGAGTAAACGTATACGAACTAAATCGTGTACGAACCGTTCGAAAGTGAATCGAAAATACGGTACGTCAATTTTCATGCGAATTTCGTCGTATTTCGCATACGAACGGCATTCAAATGAATTCGAAAATCCGTCCCCAGTTCTCACAATAGGAACTGACGTCAAATCCAAGCAGGCAATAGAGAAAGAGAAATATATATCCTCTATTATAGATTCGGGACAACACCGGTATCAGGTCTAAGGAGAGACCAAGTTAAAAAGGTGGAGAAAATGGAGACAGGTCCTCCACCTCACGGGTACCTCATCCGGAGACAAGATCCTCTTGGAGACAACCGTGGAAGGGTGTATACTCTCGTAGGAGATAGATGTCCACTCCTCGGGGGAAGAACATCTGTCCCATCCTTATACTATCTCTGTCCCCCCTACAATATGAAAATCCCTATGTATGAGTTACGGCTGTATGATGAGTTTCGTCCCCAAAGCAGAAGGAAAAGAGGGAGACCTACAACTACGTGGTTAGATGAAGTACCCCAGTTTATTAGAGATAGCTATTAAGAGAAAAAATGACAAAATCGAACGCTATTGTGGCCAGTCAAATATATAACTAGTAGATACTCATATATTTATTTAAATGTTTTGATAAATTTATAGTTCTCCACGAAAAAATAAATTTTGTTGTTAAAAAATTGGCTTGCGTGATGCCCCCGCCCCAAACTATGAATAAATTCTTGCATATATCGAGGTGACATAATTCCTGTACATTTTCTCTCTCTAATTGCTCGACTTTTTTTAGAAATGAGGCCCTCTAAAGTACTAAGTTAGTTGCCTGGTTTTGCATTGTTACCTGTTCAGTTTTAATTTAAAAATAGATGCAATTTTTATTAAATTACTTAAAATCGACTTGTCCAAAATTGTTCAAATTTGGGATGTGTATTCGGCATATGCAAACCTTTAAAAACCTATTTACGATTTGGCTGTAAAATAAACAGAAGAGCCAATATATTTGGATAGTGCAAAATTTGTATGGTATTTCCTATGTTTCCAACGACGATGCACCACCCGGTATATTTTTTAACTCAGTGTTTTTTACTATTAAATTTCCATTCCAAAAATACCATAATGTCATATACTATACCGAGTGGTTTCTGAAATATAACCGTTTTTAAACTAAATTTACTACTTATTTAACCTGTATATATAGGGTGAGTCAAAACTCACAGTATTTTTCTCAACTCTTTTAAATAAAACACCCTACATTTTGTATCATAACCGGACAGAATTTTATTTAACTTTTTTGTATTATTTAGCACTTTCTATACTTAAAATAGATATTTATTGAGAAAATTGTGTTTTTTGAAAATATAAGACATGGCTTCACTTTCGCCCATTCAATAGTAGACGTTTCACAATTGACTTCCACGTACCGACGAAAACACTGGAGAGGTATTACAAGACAAATCACACCAAAATATCATTGAAATATCACCAAAGAACTAATAGGGTCTGGTTGCACTTTATAGGGCTAAAAACGAAGACAGATTTGTACGTCACATAAAAAATCTCCAGCGTTCAGGTTTCCCACTGTATAAACATGATCTTAGGGAGTTGAAACTTCCCCAAAATTTAAACACACAAAACCAAAAAGACAGGCAGGTCATGACTTGATAGAACCCTACGATACTCACCCTAAACGTTACAGAATATTTAGTTTTCTTTCTTCTATTATATATAAACATGTTCTTAGAAACAAATAAATGCAGTCAATAAATAATACCTTAAACATTACTTGTACTTTTTAAAGTTTGAATTAAGTAAATCTATAAAAAAATACTATGTAGTAGATTCCTAAAAGTTAGATAATACTATGTATATACTAGCGAAGGTTGTTTACAACATCTAGGTATTTACAGGCAGAAAAAAGAAATAATGTGTTTCTTCTGCATTTTTTATACACCTTCTTCTTCTTCTTCTTCTTCTTTTACTTCTTGTTTCTTTTACTTAAATTAAAAAGTTGCACTTGACAGACAAATTGACCGACTGGATGGATGTCTCGCTGAAATTGCCACTGCCTCTTCTATCTTGAGTAGTCTTCGTATCTACACTTGCAAAAAAAGAGAACAAATTTTGTTAATCTGAAACAATGTAAGAGCGAAAATATATGATTTAACAATGTTCAAGAATTTTTTAAAGATAATTTAAATAATAAATAAAATAATATATAAGGTTAAATAAAGTTATTTTTTTTAATAATTTTTTAAGTACTAATAATCTTTTAATCATCCATACTGACGGGATGTGTGTCGCAGTTGTACGCCATCATACATATTCAAATTGTTTATTCTGGAGTATTCGTTAACTGCCCTTTTGCCTAGAGTAACAGAAAAACAAAATTGTTTTAACTTAGAATAACATACAGTAAAAATCATAATTTTAATATGAAGTGACAATCGATCATAATTTCTCTAAAAACTAGTTATCAAAAATTAATATTCAAACTGAATAATGTATAAGGGATACTAAATAAACGTTTAGTCACGTGTTTAAGCTTGACCGACCCATCGTTGCCCACTTTTACATATTTTCTTTTAATCAACATATTTTGGGAAACAAAAATAAATAAATTATACCTATACAGACCGGACCACCGTAGTAGTAACATAGGCAGAACCGCGGACAAATTAGCGTATACCCGTCCGCCGGATAAAAAGCAGGCGAAAAAATGCGATAAAATAAAAATAGGTAGATATGTGATAAGAATGTTTCATAATTTGTATTTATTCGTGTTTTAATAGCCAAAACGAATACATAGATTCTCGCGACAGTTCTCGTGTAAAATTTATTTTTTAAGTAAAATAATGGATGTTTACGAAGTTCCTGAGAAAATTCAAATTGTAAAATGGTATTTCCAAAATAGGTCTTATCGGGATATACAAACAATTTTTCCACAAACTTTTGTAAACAGAGCA